TCCTTCTGAGTGAAAAGTTGATTTACATGAATTTACCAATTTATTTAAGTGATTATTACTATTAGCATTTTAGCATTATTACTATTGCTATTTAAGGATTATTATAAAGCAATAAAAAAATGAAACCCTGATTCCTCATCGGGCCAGTAACTGACGCGCTTAAGCTGGGGGCTGTAGCTAAGTCAAGGAGAAGCCACAAAATGCAGCCACACCGTTGTCTGTCTTTCCACCCTGAACTTAGCGCAGTTAAATCATGTCATTTCGCCCTACACTAATACCAACTTTAGTCATTAGAGCGGTGCCAAAGCCTCCTTGATAGCTGCGTGATGCTGGCACACCGTCTAAAACACCAGGTACCGGATTGTAGATCTCTGAGCTCCAGCAGCGTCCTGTGCTGGCATTGAGCACAGTGGCCAGGGTCCTAGGGTCGAGGCCAAGTTGTGTGCCCAAAGCCATTGCCTCAGAAGTTCCCAGCATGCCAATAGCCAGCAGCAGATTGTTACAAATTTTGGCCACCTGGTGGCGGTAAGGAGGTGGAAGGATGAGTAGAGATTTGGAGAAGGGATGAAGGCGGTAGGCAGAGAAAATAAATAGAGAAAAGCAAAATAATAGAAATAAGAGATGGTCCAGAAGTCTTTTTTCTCCTAATCTCAACAAACTCGGTCCCCCTTTCCCCACTCCAACAACATAATAAAATGGAATATAAAAAAGAAAAAATATAAATACAAATATAAAAATCTAATAAAGGAATAGAAATATAGAAAAGAAGTCAAAAATAAAAAGAGTAGAGCAAAATAGTAGAAATAACTAGCGAACTGGAGGTCTATTTCCTCCCAATATTGACAAAGTTGGTCCCCATTCCCCAAGCCAGCACGTAAATGGTAGTAAATAAAGGGAAAATATAAAAAAAAGAAATAGAAATAAGTAGATGTATAACTATGAAAATAAAAAATGAATATAAAGGAGCAGAAAGTAAGTGACTGTCTTGTAGACTATTTTATCCCCTTTCCCCATTCAAGCATGAAAATCGTCGAAACAAACATA